TTCATTTTGATACAAAATGTGCCACTTTTTGAATTATTGTGAAACTTTTTGTTACTTTGTGCCACTTTTTTAAAAAAGTACATAAATTAAAGCGATTTTGCATAAAACATAATGATTTGTTTTGTAATATTGTATCAGACGGAGCGATTTTTAACTAGGGGTCGTTTGTAACAGACGGAGTGATTTTTATTTTGATTATTATTATTAGGTCGCATTCGCATTTGTGTGTTGGTCTGTTCCCGTACTGCAAGAATCTACTAGATTTTACTATTTTCTTCGATAACATAAAGGAAAATTCGTTATCGTAGTAAAAAGTAGTAGATTGTTGCAGTACGGGAACAGACCATGTGTGTTTCGATTTGTAGAATTTTCGATTGCTAAGTCCCAATTTAGATTAGGCGAGTTTACTTGCGGCAAGTTTTTGTTTGCTGGAGAGAGGGGCAAGGGGTACGAGCAAATGGAAAAAATTTGCTCGTACCGACAATTTTCTGGCAATTCGTTTTGTGTATTTTGTTTGTAGTGTCAGTAATTTGAAATACCAATCCAAAACATTTTCGAACATAACAAAACATGCACAAAATATCAAAAAAAAAAAAAAAAAAAAAAATTGGTTTGAAACCGAATTGCCTTGTATAGACGCATGAAGCAATTTCAAAAGAGAACGTTAAAAATTGCCGCAATTAAACTCGCCTAATCTAAATCAGGACTAATTGTGAATATGTAATTAAAAAATAAATGTTATTCAATAACAATATATGGTCTGTTCCCGTACTGCAAGAATCTACTACTTTTTACTACGATAACGAATTTTCCTTTATGTTATCGAAGAAAATAGTAAAATCTAGTAGATTCTTGCAGTACGAGAACAGACCAATAGTATATACTGCTTATATATTGTAAGAATATGTGATTTTATTTAGTTTTTTTTTCAGTTTACTGTATATTAAAATACACATAAATGAATTATTTGTTATGTTTTATATAGTTTTTTATTAAATAAAAAGTAAAAAAAGTGTGCCACTTTTTGTGACACTTTTTCAGAAGTTATGTGCTACTTTTTTTAAAAAATTATACTTTTTGTGATACTTTTTGAAAATTTTCAGCGGTCACGCTGTTGGCAAGTGGCGCATAAGTATCAAAATAAGCCACTTATTGTTGTTCTCTGGTTGGAATATGTGATTAAAATTAAAAACTGCTTGTAATGGTCGACACCTTATGATACGTTACCGTTAAACATTAACCTAATGTGGATCTAAATTCCGAATCCGGATACATTTCGTGATATTTAGATTTCCTTGTATGGCAGTGGTATTATTACCGATTAACCACCGAGAAGTTTCCCGGATGCACCAGTACTGTCTGCATCTCAAATTCACCTCTTGCATCAATACATCATATTATTGGCCAACCATTCCAAATTCGTATACGGAAAACATTTTTTTGCCCTTATTAAGAACATTTTGTTATTTATCACACAAGAGTCTTGGTCTATTCGACCCGCGAAATAATGAAAAATTATTGTCAAAGGAACCATGCTTCCTCGTGAGATTCGAGTCCTAAGACAAAAAACTTGATCTAATTTATCCATAAATATAACCCGATCACCAGCATGAACTACAGAAGTCGTCCTTGTCCCTTGACGGAACTTTATGCAAAAATTGAAAATCGACATTTATGCCCTCTACTATTGTAATGGGAATATTAAACAATATCAGACCACGTAGATCCCTACTAATATGGTTTACAATAATTGGTTTCAATTTAAGAGTCAACCACATCTACGGGATATATTGTTAACTTATTCGGTCTATTCACTCTATTTCTTTCCGGAGTAAATTGAAAAGCCATTGATTGCAAATTTTGTAATTTTTTACACAAAAGTCTGAGCCCATTTCTAAATAGTGTCCGATATTCATAAATACAGCCATGTTTTTTGTTTGAGCAGATCCCGTTCCCCATTACTGCGGCCTCTAGATCGACCAGAAAAAATTTTTTGTTTCATTTGAAACGTGTTAGGCAAGAACCTCTAAATCTCGTGAGAATTTGTCAATAACTGTGGCCTGTACATTGTTAACAATTTTAATGAACAGATGGATGGACACACATGTCTAGATGAACTATGCCAGTCAAGATCTGACGTTCGATGAAATAAAAGGAAAACTCTTAGGGCCAAAAAAAAGCCTATAATACTCTCTCATCATAGTTATGTAGAGTATAAATAAATTAAGTGAACTGTGAAGGATGCATCCCTAATTCTTGCCACTTGTTGTTCTATAAGGAATACCACCTTGAAGAAATACACCTTTTTCGCAAAGCGTCAGAAAATGACATCAATGAAAGGAAAGCATTTTGCTATGATTGATGAGATACAAGAAACCCCGAAACAGAAGTTGTTGGGTGTACCGAAAAGCGAGATTCAGAAGTGTTTTGAGGATTGGAAGAAACGTTGGCATAAGTATATTATATGAGCGGGGATTACTTTAGAGAGGTCAAATATTTATTGATAAACAATATTAGGTATATTGATTTATGTTTCAACTATCGCGATGATTTCAATGAACAGGTCATCCGCACCTCGTATCAAACCCTTGCAACTTTCCCATATCACGTGAAAAAATGCGTTAGAGTATGCATGTTTTATAATTTTCACAAAAAGGTTAATGTTCATTTAAACAGCTAAATGTTGACCGATCATCATCAAAGTAGTCATTGAAAATTTTGTGATAACTGTGTCACAATTCTGGCCTCTAGTGCGACTACAGATAAAAATATGTGTCTTCTTTGGCAGTACCGGACCCACATTCAAAATTTCATGCGCCAGACAAATGGACAGACAATGGTTGATCGATTGTGTACCTGAAATGGACAAGTATTTATATTTTTACGAGGAGTTATGTTATATTCTGTGAGCCTCTAGTGCCAACATACACTCTATTTGTTTGATGCTATTACCTCTAATGACCTGAATTTGAAACCGCCGAAAAATTGATTTCGGATATATAAATATGGACAAATTTGAGTAGTCAGGTACCGCCTTCGGACTTGATTTAGGTTTTGTACAGATAATAGGTTGTGCAAAGTTTGGTTCAAATCGTCTGATATTGTATGTATAAACATTGAAAATGTTCATCATTTGTGGAACAGGTACCAGGAGGGTTCCATATTCGGACTTAATCTAGACATAGCAAAGATAGTCCACAAAGATAGTTCACAATAATTTTATAGCATAATTTTCAGAATTAGTTTGTGGGGGATATTCCCCATCTTCGAACTTAAACATGGGACCTAAAATCAATATTTCGATGAGGCAAATTTGTGCCGTAGCAAAGTGCACATATCTTCATTAGCCATAAGGCTGAGGGTATAACAATGTGCAGATACAACATCCGTATCACAGCCAATGTTTGGAATTCCCTTCATATCTAATGATCGCAATAGCTCCATCTTTGGATCTAAGTAGAGCAGACATAAATAAAAAAATTAAAAACATAAAAAGTAAAAGTGAGCGGAGAAGTATAGTTGAACGGGGCCGAACAAATAATACCCTGCAAACCAGTCACTGAATTTTAACTTTCTGTGTCATCCCTTAATTATCATCCGATTACCAGCAAAAACTATAGGTGTCATATTTGACCATAACCTGAACGTCATGTAAATTAAATAGCCAATAGCGCAACATTTCCACCATATAGGGTAAAACTATCAATTTGAAGGACAACCACACTACTTGCCATATACGGCCAACTTCTTTGGTTTACGACTATCTGGAGTAAATGAATAGTTAAATATTTCCCACAAAAAGTCAGGGGCGATTTGACCGCATGTAAAATTGATTAATGTTCGGGTCATAATTGCGATCTCCATAGCGACCACAAAAAAATTTAGGAGTAATGTTTTGATCTCCTAAATATTAAGCGACCATTACCAGTAACAATTGGGTTTTCATTGGCCCGGAGGGAACCTATATGCATTTCGTACGACTAGTCCATAACTGTAACCTTACAAAATGGTAAGGTATAATGATGAAAAACCATGAACCTTATAAAAATTGTAGTGGGGTGTCCATCACCAAATCACAGTCGCTTTGTTCGGTTCAAAACGTGGGATCTATTTTTGGACGGACCTGACTTGCCCAAAATAAGTGCATTTTCTACGACAAGAAAAAACTTATTTCACATTTTATGATATTTATGAATTTTCTGAATATTCAGTATAAATACTGAATTGTGTTAAGTTTGGATCAGATATAATTTTTTTTTTTTGGAAAATTGACAATTTATTGTAAAAAGTTGGAAATGTTTGATTTCTTTGAATATTTTTTCCAGAGTTGAGTTAGTTTTTCAATCTGACTACAGCAAAATTGGCCCAAATATAGACTCCGACTCTATAGTTTATGTTTTTGAAATCTGGGGACTTTGAACATAAACCAGTAAAATTTGTCGATTTCAAATAATTTTCCGAAACGTAGCATTGATATTTTGCAAGAACATTGGTGAGATTCGAAGCCAATTACTAATTTCGAAGCCAATTACTAAAATCAATTAGTATTTTTATCTAACCTTATCCGAAAGATTTTACTTGGAATTTCATCTGACACTTCCTCAAGAAGAGTTTCAAACCTACATCACATTATGTCTGTTACTTGAGTAAAGAAATGGTTTTAAATTTACTATTTCTGTCTTGATTTACATCACAATTGTTTTGACATTAGTTCTTGGTTGGGTATGTATATATAGGACACCTATGTACGTATGTATATATATTTCTTGGTAATATTTTCTATAGGTTCTTGTGTAGATTTCATTTAGGAAAAAATCCATTTTCTACAAAAATAGTGGCTCTGCAAAAAAAAGTTGTCCCCATTTTGTAGTTGTAGGGTTACAAAAAAATATGTCTCCCAAGCTCTAAATTTTCCAAAAATATTTAATCACAGCTTCCAATTAGAATCAGTGATCCCCACACTGAGAGATTTAGTTTGGATTCTAATTGGAAGGTTTACGTCACAAGAGGGCACAAAGTTTGGAACGTTTCTTGTTTTTGTCGGTGATGGAATTTGTTGTGCAGGATGATGATATCGATGAAGATGCCGACATTTGACCAGTTGAACCTGCAGGACCTGTGGGTTGTGATGGGCTGGTAGGACTTTTATCTTCTAAATCTTCACTGGCATGTGTCTCTAAGAGTTTCAGCGATGTTTTTGGTTTTGAACCGTCCATACTGTTGTATAAAGTTTTGGTTAATTTTGATTTTACTGCCTTGCCGAGGGCACCGGTTTTCTTGATACTCAAACGAGAAATGCCACGTTGATGTTCGGGTGTTGAGGTATCATCACTATGCTGCTGATGACAATTTAGTGTGGTTACAGTGAATTCAATGTCTTTGATTTCTTCGTCATTGCAGGCTGGAAATAATATTTCAATAATTAATTAATAATATTTCAAATTAATATTTGTTGTGTAATACCTGCAAATTCCTCTACTGGCTTATCGATGGTATCATGATCAATCCATGTCAAACCCATTTCTACTTTTTCAGCCAAATCCTGCCAATTGCGACGATTTTCCAATGTACCTTCATACAATGGCGTTATCCAGGGGAATGTATCACACAACACTTTGTAGAGGGGCAAACAGATGACATCAATGAACCCGACTTGCATTTTGGGTAACTCATCTTTGCGGTCCCTGAAGAAATGATATTTAAATATTTAAATAATTTTCGGAAGGAATGAAGAGTAGATATTTTCTCACCTATCCATCATGGCCACGGGTTGTGTATTCAATTGCAGTTTTTCCAAATCTCCTTGATCGAAAAATTCATCAGCCACTAGCTTGGCCACCCGATGCTGCACCTCCCATGGCTTGGCAATAGCACTGACATCACAAGCTGTCATCATCATACCGCATAATACTGTAAACAGATTTTGGTGAGAATAACTTGAAATTGAAGAGGGTTGTGTTGATACTTACAATCCTTTTTGTCTTCACTTTGCCAATCGAATTCCCCACTTTCCACCACCTCCAAGAAGGCATTACGTTTCTTAAAGTAAACGGCAAGATCTGTGGATAAAATTGCATTCTCCACGATTTTCATAACATGTCGGTAGTCTTCTGGTGATAGAGCCTGAAATAAATTTGTAAATATTTAGTTATTTTTAATATATAGGATTTATGGATTCAAAGGCGTTTCCACAATTAATATAAAAACATCGGAATTGATATGAATGGCAGGGTGGAGGAAAAGTATTACTTGAGGAAATTCCGAGGTTATGGTGGTTTATTTTACATGTTCCCAGTATGTTGCGATAAATTCATATCTACTGAAATCGAAAATTCAGAATTGCAGTTAATTGAACTGTAAAATGTGACTCAGATCTATTAGAGTTGCCACATTAGGTTTAAAAAATCCCACATTACAACCAGTTTGGTTCTGAAGTGGCTTCAAAATACCGAAAATAGGAGTGTAACAATAAATGAAGACTATACAATACTGACAATATTTTTATCACTTCGCTTTGTAGATTCAAAGCTCTATGTGAGTACTTTCAGAATATATCCACTAAAAATCTTCTGAATACCTGATTTTAAGAGAACTGGGTTATAATGGGCAAATTTGAAAACTACCACGATATTATAAAAAAACTGATATGAAAGAAAATTGAAAAAAAAAACGGTATTCAGAAATTCGTTGCTTTCATTTGAGCTAGGTCGAAGTAGCACATTCATTTTAATTTTTTTTACCATATGGCGATAATTTTCAAATTTGCCAAATATCACTCAGGTCTTTTAGAAAAATCCTTAAAAATGGGGTATTCAGAAGTTATTTTTGAAAATTATGGATGTATTCTGAAAGTACTCCTATGGGGCTTTCATTTGACCTGGTTTAGTTTTTGTGCAGTATGAACGTTTCTGCGTTTCATTTATAAGAGCGTTATTAGACCACTTCAAACATACGCGTCGGTAGTTTGGTGGACAAAAGAGAGAACATGCTGCCTAGGTATATGTGGGGCAATGCGTACAAAACCAACCAGGGCTTTGGAGACTATATTGTATACATCCAAATTAAATATGAAACCGTGGATTGAAACCGGACACAATAGTGCACCAGGCTACAATCCAAAGTTCAATCAGTAGTTTGGAGTCGGACCAAATAACTGAAATAGGAATAGTCACAGCATGACAGAGACTCATGGGATAGCGGAAAATATACTCGGTAGAAGTGCCAGCGACCGACCTACAACATTTGTAAATAACGCTAAACTTGTTAGTGCAACACGTCTAGAACTGAGGTCATGGACAACGGAAACCAAAAAAATTCTTTGGAATAGCGAGGGGACTGGTTAAAACACAAATTCTATGGGAATACCCAAATGAGAATAAGACAAAGACAAGCTAATAAAAAAATTTCTTGACGATTAGGGAAACCAAATTTAAAGATGATTTTTTACAACTTTATTCTTTCACTGGAGCACATAACAGGCCACTCATAGGCTTAAGTGTATGTCCTACTATTGGACATGTGGTGGTGTATAGCACACCACTTTTCAACCGAACCTAACCAGGGCGTGAACTTTAAATATGTGGCAAAAAAAATTATCGTTAGTTGTAAAGGCCCGGACTTTTTATGCACTCCATGTGCATAAAAATGTCCACCATAAGGCCGACATTCAAAATTAATAAAATCGATTGGGACTTTTATACATATATACTGACATTGAATATACCGAAAATGTCACATGATCTTTGTATTGGGGTCATGTAGAAAATGGCAAACGGACTGACAAATGTACACTCCATCCCCCATATACACTCCACCTTATGGTGGAGGTTACAAACAATCTAGTAAAATCGGGCTATGTTCGGCTTGGCCTAACTTTGCATACCGTCCACCATATATTCAGCATTTTTTACCAAGGACTTTTTCGCTAAAAGTCTCCTTTATATGGGAGTTATATACAAAACATGGATATTTTTTTTCTACATTTTTGGACCGGATATTCAGATGATAAATAGGGTTTTAATACCTTATACACATATATTCATATTCGAATAGGCCCAAAATGAATTGAACCGGATTATTACCGGTTTTATTATCTGAATATCCGGTTCCAAAATGTTTGATAATTGGTTCTTTCTTCCATGAATTTAGTTTTTGGATTATTTAGCCTAACTATATATAATTTTAGTAAATAACTCGGACGAATCCGAAGGTTCTTCATAATACAAAATTTTTACTGAATATATTGAAATACGTACTTATAGCGTTTCAGTAGTTTAGACTCGTATGGAAATAATTTTGGTAGAATCTTGCGAGGATGAAAAATCACATTTTGCGATCATTAGAGTCCGGTTCAATAAACTAGGGACGAAAAGGGCATACAAGGAAATGATGACGACATATCTCTTAACTTTGACCTAGCATCTCCAAAAGGAATTTTTCGCCACCCAAAATTTTGACGCACAGTGTTATATCATTTAAAATTTCGAAAGTGTAGGAAATGCTTTGGTTTTGAAAAAATATTATAAGGGAAAATAAGGTTATGCTAAAAAAAGAACATGGAACTCTGTTTTAAATTTTCTCTAAAGAAGTTTTTTAGTAACGAAAATGTGACCTTTATCTGTGTGCTATGTTAAAATCTGAACCCATATCGAGAATTTTCTTCAAAAACAGTAAGAAAAGTTAGAAAGTCTGACCGGGCCGACTCTATGATACCCTACACAACTGCCACCCAACTCTAACGCCTATATTCTGATCCTGGGATATATTTCGCGAGATTTGAACCTCCTTGACCGATTAGAGGTCAACAGCTCCTCTTTTCCGAATAATGTTTTGAGTGAACATTATAAGATTTACATTTTGTTATTTTACACAAAAAATACTGGTTCATTTCACCCGTCAAATATTGATCGATCATTACACAGTGACACATTTTTCAACTTTAAAATCTTGAACCAATCGAGACCCCCAAAATCTTGAAGCTTGTGATGGTGGAAGAAAATCCCTAGCTGGGTTTTGCATTATTAGCTAAGGTTTTCTTTTAAATTAATTTTTAAAATATTCGACTGGAGGTGGATTTTAACAATTTTCGAATAATACGTACTTATTATTGAGTCTATTTCTCGTGAACTATTCGAAATATTGCTTTTCTCTCTTAAGCAATATTCTTCCTCTTAATTAGATCTAAAATTTTTTTCTTGAGATAAAATCAATAAAACATCACCATCATACTGAAAATAGCACAACTGCAAAAAAATTAAAATTTCGACATACTTTTTGCTACTGACTCGACCAAACAATATATGACAAGAAGATAGCCAATAGCAAATCAAACAACTCTTCTTAAAACCCCGATTTCATTGGTTGATTCCTTCACATAGTTATAGCCTCACAAATTCATCAAAATGAACCAAAGAAATTCACTCCCAATTGTATGTTTATAGAAATAAAAATTGCTATGCTTTTTCAATAAATAAGTACAAAATTAAAGTAAAAATTAAAATGTTTGGCCCTTTAGTTTTTTTCGAAGACATGTCGCAGCGATATATGCACAGGGTAAACGCAGGAACTGGAGGTGCGACCTTAAAGTGGTCAATATTTTGGATGGCCAAAGTATTATTGCTTTCTGTGCCGTTGGGACACACGAGCAAAAGTCGATCACTACTCGCACACTTGGGAAAAACGTATGTCAGGAGTAAAAGATTCCACATTAGACATGACAGCAGAGCCACTAATAAAAACCAGTAAGGAAAGTAGTAAAGTCGGACGGGGCCGACTATATGATACCCTTCACCACTTTGGGTATATTCAACAGATGAACCCTAACAGACGTCGCATTTTTGAAGGACCAGTAAAATTAAATTGGATCCATAAACATAAACCTGTACTTTGTTTACAATTTAACATGGACAGACAGACGGACGGACATGCATAAATCGACTTAGAAAGTGATTCTATGCATATTCCAAAAAGGAACCATGTGTCTTTCTCGTTTTCTTTTGTCTGTTACAAACATATGCACAAAGACATAATACCCTGTACCACAGTGTGGTGAAGGGTATAAATATAAGTGACATATTGTTGCCACCGCTGCATATTACCCTGTGCATATATGGCAGCGACATGTCTTCGAAAAAAACCAAAGGGCCCAAACATTTTAATTTTTACTTTAATTTTGTACCTATTTATTCAAAAAGCATAGCAATTTTTATTTCTATAAACATACAATTGGGAGTGTTTTTTGGTTCATTTTGATGAATTTGTGAGGCTATAACTATGTGAAGGAGTCAACCAATGAAATCGGGGTTTTAAGAAGAGTTGTTTGATTTGCTATTGGCTATCTTCTTGTCATATATTGTTTGGTCGAGTCAATAGCAGTTTCTGAAATAAGTGTGAAAAAACATGGAAAAAGTATGTCAACATTTTAATTTTTTTTGCAGTTGTGCTATTTTCAGTATGATGGTGATGTTTTATTGATTTTATCTCAAGAACAAATTTTTAGTTCTAATTAAGAGGAAGAATATTGCTTAAGAGAGAAAAGCAATATTTCGAATAGTTCACGAAATATAGACTCAATAATAAGTACGTATTATTCGAAAATTGTTAAAATCCACCTCCAGTCGAATATTTTAAAAATTAATTTAAAAGAAAACCTTAGCTAATAATGCAAAACCCAGCTAGGGATTTTCTTCCACCATCACAAGCTTCAAGATTTTGGGGTCTCGATTGGTTCAAGATTTTAGTGCTGCACAGTGTTATCAAAACAGCCATTCTAATTGCTTGGTCAGACCCCCTTCTCCGTGTAAAATTTGTGATATTCGGCTTAGTGTTTTCTAGTCCCCTGTAAATATTTACGCATAACTTCCACATCCCACATCCGAGCACATAAATCAATATCTCTGGCTTATGTTTAGAGTATAAAAATCAAAGAGTTGCGTCGGCATCCTATGTGTGATAATTTGGTTATTGGAAATGAGTATAGATCAACAGATACGGTGAATAGATTGCGCAATCGAGAATTGAATAATGATTTATTGTGCTTTGGATAAGTCTGATGGCATTGATCGGCACAATGTTTACTCTATACAAGCATAATGCCACACAACCACGAACTCATTGCTCTTTAAAGGAAAACATTTCTACAATTTATTACCTCTCGAAGAGTTGATAACAATTTGCCACCGAGATCTTGTGATCTTAATCGTAATCAAGAAGGTCGAAAACACACAAAATATACACATATGGAAAATAACTACCGAAGGGGAACTATATACAAATATAAAATATAACCTATCAACACTTATACCACTGAATCGACTGTATGCCAATTTATGCGAACTAAATTATAACAATATTTTGCAATATCTTAATATTATTCAAACATGTTCACAATAAATATTTATTTAACTGTTTACGCATTTCTATTGTTAACGGATTTTTTTAAACAACAAAACATTATTTTAAGTTATATTCAATGCCATAAAGAAATTTAGCATAATTTATACAACTGAATAAACAATGTATTCAGAATTTATTATTCAATGAGAGTACGTGGAGCTTTCACATTATTCTACAAATGTGACACGTGCTGAACTTTGGACCTTAGCCTGATAGATTTAGGCAACCATTGGGATGGAACTATAAATATGTCCGTGAAGATAAATTTAAAATTTAACAGACACAAACCACCAAACTTTTTCGCTGGTTCACATAGGGTTAAGACAGAGAGAGTGAGAGAATGCGAAATTGCAGAACTAAATTGAGAGAGAGAGAGGGAGTGTGTGTGTGAGCGTAACTGAGAATGTGCCACAATTTGCAGAACAGAATTGTGCGCAGTATGTGAGCGTATTTGACAATGCGCCACCAATTTGCAGAACTAAATTTCGGCCGGCCTTATGCAAATTTCATATAAAATACCCCATTGTAAAATAATTAAGAAGGGTGCGGAGTTGAGGTGGGGGGCTCAAAAGAAAGATCTAAGAGTGTACTTTCAGAATATGAGGACCATATAGGTAAAAAGAGTGTCGGAGATGGAAATTTTTCCGATTTTCTGAAAATTTTTAGGACGACTTTAGGAAAATTTCCGATAAAATGGGCCACTGTAAAAAAATTAAGAAGGGTGCGGAGTTGAGGGGGGCTCAACGTCTAAGGTCTAAGAGTGTATGTAATTAAGCCTAGAATGATGTGTGCTAAGATTTAGATATAGCTCCCATGTATATTTTCGTTCGATTCAATGTAAATGCCAAATGAAAAATGACCAAATGAAAAATTTAGTATCGGTTGCAGAATGACATGTTTATGGATCCAATTTCATTTTACTGGTCCTTTAAAAATACGACGTCTGTTAGGATTCATCTGTTGAATATACCCAAAGTGGTGAAGGGTATCATATAGTCGGCACCGCCCGATCGGAAAAATGCCCATCTCACGGACATACTATAAGGTTGTTTTGCAAGAAATGTTTTTTTTTCAAACATATTTGGGCTTTATGTCTATCAAGGTGTATTTAATAAGGTGTATGCATCAGATACAACAACAAATATTTTACAAACACAACATTGTTGTTATAGAAATTAAATTGTCATGCTGACAATAAGTTTTTGACAAAAATAAACAAAAACAATTATTAATTTATTTTTGTGAAGAACTATTCTTTGAGGAATAAATAATGAATTTGTGTATTCTTGGGTTATTTGCGGTTTTAGGTCAATGAAAAATAAAGTTTAAGACCTGGTCGCGATTAATTTTAAGTTTCCCACAATTATCCAATGGCTCCTTGTGATGGTTATATTGTGGATTACAATCTATTTTTTCTATGGAGTGGCTTCAAATCTTGTCTTCTTTTAGAAAATTGAAGGACATAAATGCCCGACCAAAGACTAAATCATGGAAATTGTGTTGGCCGTATAAAATCTTTCCATAGGCGTATTTAACCTCCCCCGAGAATTGTGACAAGCACCAAGGGGGCGATTCCAATATAGGCTAACATAATCTCCTCAATTTTATGAATAGCTGGGATTTCTGGACAGATTTCCACACATACAATAAAATGAGCCTAAATTTCCTTTCTGTCCCCTCTATGAATGTAGCTTTCTTGAATTTTTATTATTAAAAAAACCTAAATTTAGCTTCATATAGAATTTTTCATAAATTTGAAATTTTATGATTGAGGTAGCAGAATAGACAAATAGGTCCAAACTCCGATCTTTATTCAGGACCGGTAAAAATATTACTATATAAATCGAATGAAATACAAGGACTTTGGTGCACAATTTACATAAAATCGGACGGATTTATATAGGAGCTATATCTAAATCTGAAACGATTTGCACGAAACTTAGCACGCATCACATCAGACTTATTTCAGTACGCTATGCCAAATTTCGTGTAAATCGAAAAAAATTGGCTTTGATGCACTATTTACATATACACATATATATACAAAACCAGTAAAGAAAGTAGTAAAGTCGAACAGGGCCGACTATATGATACTTTTCACCACTTTGGGTATATTCAACAGATGAATCCTAACAGACGTCGCATTTTTAAAGGCATGCAATTGGATACATAAACATTTCATTCTGCAACCGGTACTAAATTTTTATTTGGTCTAAATCTGAACCGATTTCAGGAAACTTAACACACATCATTCTAGACCTAATTCAATACGCTGTGCCGAATTTCGTGCAAATTGAAAGATATATAGGGACTTTGGTGGACCATTTACATTAAATCGGACGAAAATATATATTGGAGCTATATCTAAATCTGAACCGATTTCCACGAAACTTTGCACACATCATTCTAGACCTAATTCATTACGCTGACCCAATTTCGTGCAAATCTATAGGGACTTTGGTGGACCAGTTACATTAAATCGGACGAAAATATATATTGGAGCTATATCTAAATCTGAACCGATTTCCAGGAAACTTAACACTCATCATTCTATACCTAGTTCATTACACTGTGCCAAATTTCGTGCAAATCGAAAGATATATAGGGATTTTGGTGGACATTTACATTACATCGGACGCATATATATGGGAGCTATATTTAAATCTGAACCGATTTTCACGAAACTTCGAACACATCATCCTAGACCTAATTCATTACGCTGTGCCAAATTTCGTGCAAATCAAAAGATTTGCAGAGACTGTAGTGGACTATTTACCTAAAATCGGGCGAAGCTATATATGGGAGCTATATCTAAATATGAACCGATTTTTCCCAATTTCAATAGGGTTCGTCCTTGGGCCAAACAAATGAGCTGTGCCAAATTCCATCCAAATCAGATTATAAATGCCACATGTACTTTGTTCACAAATATACACGGACGGACAGGCGGACGGACAGACGCACGTGCGAAAATCGTCTCAAAAGTGATTCTATGCTTATTCTCAAAAGGAACCATGGGCCTATATCGATTCCTTTTGCCTGTTACAAACATATGCACAAAGACATAATACCCTGTACCACAGTGTGGTGAAGGGTATAATAAATAATAATATTTCTTATGGAAATCGTGAATACGGTATAATTTTATGTACTATAGTTCTGAATTCCACTTCTATTACTAGATCTAATATCAAGTTTATTACCATTTAGTACTCTTCATACACATAAGCACTATTTTTCGAAATCTCTTTCTTATTTCCATCACACAGATTAACAATAGATCAGAATTCCAAATCCAATTTGTACCAAATCTAGTACTTTTCGTACACATAAATACGAACTTCAAATTGCAGGTTTTCAGCTCTCTCCATTCAAACAAAATCCAAATTGTACTAAAGTTAATACCATATAGTACTTTTCGTACCAATAAGTACGAATTTCCTAAACTACCTCAATCCGTCACTCCAACAGTCATTTTAATTCCCAATTTGAGGACTCCAGCTCTATCTGTTGACCTAAATCCAACTTGCACCATATTTAGTACCAGTTAGTACTTTTCGTACACATAAGTACGATTTTTTAAAGGTACATCATTCCTGTACTCCAATAGCAGTCCTAATTCATATTTTCAGGATTCCATCTCTATACACTCAACTAAATGCAAATAGTACCAAATTTAGTACCATTTTGTACGTTTTATACATATAAGTACGAATTACTTACACCATTTCCATACATAAACACCGCTACCAACCTGAATTCCATATAAAATTTCCAGATTCTAGCTCTTTATGTTCAATATATATATATAATTAGAACTAAATTTAGTACATTTCTTACACATATAGGTCGAATTTCCAAAACCCCTTTTGTACATCTTTCTAACTTTTCATCATGCCAAATTTCAGAATTCTAGCTCTTCCCGTTCGCCTAATACAAAGTGTACCATATCTGGTACATTTTAGTACTTTTCGTACCCTTCTAGTTCGAATTTCCAAACACCCCGCCAAATTTCAAGCTTCTAGCTTTAGTCGTTTCGTCTGGGCGATGATCTGTCGACAAAAACATAACCCTCAAATTTGAAATTGTACAGTATAAGGTTTCTTTTAATAAATTCAGATTTAATAAAGCTATTATGTATATATGTAAAGTATTCGGCACATAAAACTCACCTGAAAAATATTATTACCCTCCGAATTCAAAATCATTACACACTGATCAAAATGATGATGTTCCATTGTACTCGTTGTATACAATATAGCCAAGGGTGATTCCGTCTTTGTCTGGAAAGCATTATTCGTTCCACGATGATCTAAATCGTGGCATAAACATGCCACTAACAGCCCGAAAATTTCCAAGTCCTTCATAAAACGTTCCATGCGACCCGTTTTCATCATTGCAAACATTGTCTGGGCCACATTGAGGGCATGACGCCAATTGTGATATTTGACAGGACGGTAATTTTTGCGTACACTCAACACCCAACGACACAGCACATCGTAGGGTATTTGAAACATTTGAACTAGATTACATTGCAGGAACATACGGACCACAGCACGACAAGTGTCATCATCACACAAATCAAAATCTATGGGAAAAGGGAACAAGGAGACATATTCACATTAGAAGCGTATCTCAATTATTTCTATGTATCTGAATTTCCTTACCAATAAACTTAAAGCTATACAAATTATAAGACTCAGCAGTTTCAATTGTGTCCTGAACCAAACGATCGGTTTGATCCTGTGGCGCTGTTGCATGATATGACAAACATTCCAAGGCTACCTTTTGTTTGGCCATTAGCTTACAGGCATTCTCATACATTTGTGTGTTGTGTATGCCCAGGCCACAGAAGATGGCAAATGCTTCAAAGATGGAAGCATCACAATCGGTAAAAGGCATGCCATTGGTCTTGTTGATTAGCTGGGCCACACCAATCACCCGTTTTTGAGCATTGACAATGGGCATGCACAATATGGCCTTGATGCAATCAATTTCATTTTCTGCCGTAATTTGATTATGCTCCTGCACCCACTCCCTAACATCGGCTATATTTACCGTTTGACCGGTGGTCGCCACAAATTGGGCAATTTGAGCCAGGGTGGAATTGCTTAAATCATTGCCAGTGGGGCGGGAAATATTTGCCGATTGATTAGCTGCACCCAATTCGAAGAGAACCGTAAAACGGTTGTTGGTTTTTTGCTGGAAACAGAATAAAAAAATTAAATTTATATACAATCTACATAAGATTCTTACAGCTTACCTTATCATCCAAACTATCACTGCTATATCTACTGCGACTTAGCCTTCTTTGCACTTCATTAGGTTTCTCTATGATTTTTTCTAAGTGGCTCTGTAAACAAAATTCAATTCAAAATAATTATAAAAATCAACCAACAGTTCGTCCCAACCTTACCGCCTCACAACAATCCAAATCGACTAGAAATACCGAACACCGTTCACATTTCAGCAGCACTCGTGCCTCAGTCATAATTTTCGTAACCAGACATTCTAAATTATTCTGCTCCTCGAATATACTTCGCGCCAAATTCAATAAGATTTGATTACGACGATATTCCTGGACGGACATTTCAAACAATTGAGCATTTTGTATACCAATACCACAAAAGGTTAAATATCGACGAAATATTTCCACATCGTGTTCATCGAATTCCAGAGATCCATCGGTTTTATTTATAATTTGTGCCACCCCGATAATATCACCCTCATAATTGCAAATGGGCATTGAGAGTATCGTATTTGTTTTATAGCCAGTCTTCAAATCTATTTCACAATTGAAACGAGCATCTTTATAGGCCTCCTTAATATTGATCATCTCTTTGGTCTGAGCCACCATACCGGCGATGCCCACACCAAAGGGTATGACTATTTCTTCTGAGCGTGCCTTCTTCACAGCATCTTTGAGAGCTGAAAAAGGGGGAAAGAAATAGGTGAACAATTTGTATTTAAGATAGAGCTTTAAATTTTAGGTGATGTAGGGGATGATAGATACCAAGCAACGGCTCTGATTGGCTTGCAAAGCCCAGGCTTATCTTGGTCCCTCTTTCATCTCAATTGTGGACACTGACCTCCCCGCGGTGTAACCTGGGGTAGCTACTTTTATCATCCGTTGAAATAGTGGGCTGATATGTGCCGCGAGGTCGGGTTATTTGTCCACACTCGAAAAAAAACCAATTCTATGAAAAAGCAACGAAAAAGAAATCCAAACCTCTCTATTATTAACGACCCCCGCAAACGTATAGAGGACTTCGATCTGGGAATATGCACTCATTTTTCGCTTTGGCGGATGTAAAGGGACAGGCGTAAGTAAATCAGATGATTACATCCTGTATTATAGCTGCCATGAAACGAGACATGAATTTGGTTGCGTATTTATGGTCAGGAGGAGATTTACTCCAGTAAATGAGCGAATTGCTATAATCCGTATAAAAGCGAAATTTTTTTTATATCTATCCGAGCGAAGTTCTTCTATATCTATCCGAGGGAAGGCAAAGACGAACAGACCAACGACATTTTTTACGAGCGCCTAGATACAACCCTGGTCACGATATTTAAATTCTGCTAAAAGATTTTAATGTAAAAATCGGAGGGCAAAATATTTTTTGTCCCACCGTCGGAAAATTCAGCCTTCATGAAGAAACATCAGACAACGGCATGAGGTTGATAGACTTCGCTGCAGCAAAAAATGTGGTAATTAGCAGCACAGGTTTAAGCAGCTCGATATACACAAGACCACCTGAATTTCTCCCGATCAAGCGACGTCAAATCAAATTGATCATGTTGTGATATACAGAAGGTATTTATCCAGTGTTTTAGAAGAAGAACCAATAAGAGATAACGGTTCTGGGGTATAAGAGATGATTGGAACCTCAGTACCCTGTGTCTCATGCACGAAAAGGGAGACAAGCCGATATGTGCAAACTATAGAGGAATAAGTCTCCTTCCCATCGCATATAAAGTTCTATCCAGCGTGCTGGGTGAACGACTGACTCAATGACATTATTGGACCATACCAATACGGCTTCCTGCCTGGCAAATACACCATTGACCCACGAAAAATACATCGACACATTCCATTTATTCGTCGACTACAAAGCCGCATTCGACAACCCAGTCCACTCAGTTAAAGTCGGAAAAGACTCAGACAGCTTGTCGTGTGATCTTTTAACATCCTGCTGGAAAAGGTCATACGAGATGCAAATGTGAATAGAAATGACACTCTGTACAACAAGAAGCATAAAAAAGCATGCCTATGACGATGACATCGATATAATTGGTTGAACATTGCGAGCGGTAACAGTCGCCTTTGAATGAATTGAGAAGAAGTCTGCCGAAGTGGTAATGACAGTAAATGGCGAGAAGACCGCGCTGGTGGTATCAACGCGCAAGACGTCTAGTGGACTCGGACCAACTGTGGAACATGAAAACTACACCTTCGAAATGGTGAACGATTTTATATACCTCGGTACTGCCATTAACAAAACTACTAACATCAGCTTCGAAATCCGGACAATAATAGTGTTGGAAAACATGTGCTACTATGTTCTGAGTTAGCAATTCAAGAACAAGGCCAACTCTCGGCAGACCATACTCACACTCTACAAGACGCAGATACTACCCGTGTTGTTATATGGATCTGAAGCATGGATACATGCGAAGTATCTTGAAGAGTTTTATGTGAGTACCCGCCAAAAGGCCTACCTCACGTGGCTGAGCCACAGGCGGAAAAGCGCCCACCAGCACCGAAGTACTGTATCAATTGGAGAGCATGCAGAAGGCACACTCTTCCCCTTGGTGAGGGGCGAAACCACAACCCCCGCGAAGCTCCCCAGGGGGGCACACCAACTGTCAGTTTGACACACGTCCGGGCTGGTATTCCAAAACAACAATAAGCAACGGCGATAACCGCAAGTGGCAAGGAAAACCTTGCCACAAGCAGTGACAAAAACACAAACCACATACAATTAACATGCTGTCCTCACGGACTGCACAAAGGGCCCAACGGACCGCGGCATCGGACATCACAACACAAACAATGAACTAAACTGCCCTCACGGACAGCCTACACTACATCCACAGGACGAGTGAAACACATGAAGTGGAAACCGCGAACCACCCACGATGCACAGACAACCGCAGGTAGCCCGTACACCACCTACAACTGCCAACAACCGCCGATAACCGCACCGAGACCAGCACCGCCACCCGGTGCACCTACCCACCACCACCCGGTGCAACCGACCAAACCCAGCTGCAAGGGGGTTATGTACGAGGACCACCTCCACTAAGTACATTCCTTCTCCTAAATGCTTCACGAGCAAAACTACTTAAACAACTAAAGGTCCGATCGTCTTCAAGTGCCCTACTGAAATCCCACCCCGCCTCTCCATTTGATATACCCATACTTGCTAAATCTCTAATGTCATCATAGTAACAGCATTCCGTCAGTATATGCTTCCAGTCCTCGGTCACCCCGCACCAACATAAATCCGTCTGGGCAAGGTCTCTTTTATGCAGAAAAGCATTAAGAGAGCCATGCCCCGTCAGTAAGAAACCAGTACTTAAGCCGAAGCGAAAGTCTGGCCGGTCCAATACGAACGTTGCGTCACGAATAAATTCGTACGTCACTGTTCGTCCACCTAGTCCTCCACCTATCAACAACACAGTCCCGAAGGATAGTGCTGTACCGCCTACTCTCCCCATCCACCAAATCAGAAGGCCTGAGCCAATCATCCTCATCCAACCGCAAACCACGCTTAAGCTTATACATGATAGCCCTACATCTCACTTCAAGATCAAGCGGCGCCAAGCAGCACTTGCAACGCCTCTGTTGAAACAGTGCAACACACTGGCAAGCACGCTAACATGACGACCCGCTGACACGAAAGGAGCTTCCTCTGCCCGAAGACAGAAGAGGCAGCTCTGTACCATATATGTGCACCATAAGTTGCGCAGGCAACAAAAAGCCCACCATATATGATACGTACAGAGCGCCTACTCAAGCCCCAATCAGTCCGCAAAACACGCCTGATGGTCCCAACGTCCGTTGTCAGCTTCTCTTTCAACCGATCGAAGTGTGGAAGAAAATTCAAACGCTCTGACACCGTTATTCCGAGATATTTAATAGTACACGAATACCTTATGCTTATACATGCGAAATCAGATGATGCAGCTCTGCGAGTGTTTGAATGTACAAAATATCCGAAAGATCTATGGACCAATCTGCGTCAACGGTGAATATCGCCGTAGAATGAATCATGAGTTGTACCATCTATTCTCGGACATTGACATAGTCAGACGTGTAGATCTGCAGTGACTACGTTGGCTGTTCTGTCACAAACCGGCTAAGTTAGTAAGCTTTAATAAGTTTAAGATACATCCTAAAATTCCATATCTTTAGCGAGTTTGGGCTGTCATTTATATTTTAGATTCTCATTGAGTGAAAATCCCACACAAACTCCCCCCATTTATTGGTTATTTTAGGAGTTTGGCTAAATTTTCAATCGAATTTTCTCTAATTTGATTTCTCAGTTTTCATGGGGTGTCTTGAAGGTCGAAAAACACCTTTGTAGCCGATTTTTGATGTAGGTCCATGTTTTGACATATAAATAAGGATATGTCTCATTGTGAGTATTTGAAAAAAAATAATTGGGTGTAAAATCGGATGACTTAACAATACTACGTTTTTATAGATTTTTTTATGCCAAATTTCGTGCAAATCGAAAGATATATTGGGACATTGGTGCACCATTTACATTAAATCGGGCGATATATCTAAATCTGAACCGATTTTTCCCAAATTCAATAGGGCTTGTCCTTGGGCCAAATAAGTAACCTATACCAAATTTCATCCAAATCGGATCATAAATGCTACCTTTACCTTGTTCACAAAAATACATGGACGGACGGACATGAGTAAATCGACTCAGAAAGTGATTCTATGCATATTCTCAAAAGGAACCATGTGTATATCTCCCTGTACCGCAGTGTAGTGAAGGGTATAAATATTTATCATGAAAAACTTATATGGATATTATTTACGTTTTCTGTTGTAACTACGAAATCGACCCAGTAGTTAAGAAACTTAAATGCAAAGTCACTGACGGGACTTTGTGGAATATTAATCTAACGCCAGAAACACATCCTCTATATATGGTGGTCGGCCCTTCTGGCTTTGGTTCCTTCATCATTGGTTTCTCCATCGAATTTCATTCTATGCTACTTACAAGCGAATAAAATTCAATCGAAAACACATCTCCTGCACATAGTTTACTACGTATAAGTTTACGAACTTTACTGAATAAGTACTTTAGAAGGTGTAATTTTAGCATATATAGGCTTTAGAACAATATGAAAGAATACATTACACTAAGATTCACATATATTGATTATATTCTGCCCTATCAATTTTAAATAAATCTAATATATCTCTCCAATAAGTTAATAATACCAATGCTACTAGTACCTTCATATCGACACCATACCTTACCAAATTAAAACCCAATCACAATCACTTCCATTCATTAATAACTATTATCATAGCAGTAATTGAAATTCAAAACCAAATTATTAATCACAATAGTCTGTGCCTATACGAATTATGATTCCCACCCTGTGATAATTCAAATTGAGTCTATTATTGTTTTCGAATATTTCAATTTCGTTTTTAATTTGATTTTACTTTTCTCTCTTGACTGTTGCCTTATACCCTTTTTAGGTTGCAGTAAATGTGGGCTACCAGTGAATACATACATCCATACACTCATACATACAAAACTGCATACATAGCTATTAACTTACGTGTCGTTTGTGTAACATCGAATAGTTTCGCCACCAGATATCGATTGTTGGGTGTCCCCTTGGCCAAAAACAATGAGCCACGATCTGCGTGTGTGAGCAGACCCACATTCACCAGTATTTTATGGCACAGCACATCAATATCCAATTCATTGGCAACATCACGTATCAATTCCATAAAGAGTTCACCTTCGTCCAATTCCATTAAATGTTGTCGATTGTCCAGAGATGGTTTGCCGCCGCTAGCCGATGCTGATGAAAATGAACGATTTTTCTATTAGAAGAAGAAAAGACAGGAGAAAAAATCCAGAATTAGAAATGATGAACAAAACGGCAACGGTGATGATAATGGAAATGTGTTTGGATGGAAACTAGAAAATGGCAGAAAAGAAAAATGAGCTTGACTTCTGGCAGCATAAAAAGCAACTGGCCCACCAACCAATATGAGTATATACCCTGCGTGTGTCATAAGTTACACTTACGTGGTTACTTCAACTATGCTAACAGGTAAGCATTGTGTCTGTCAAAAGTTAATTTAGTTAAAAACTTTTTTAAGCAGAATTTATGACATCCATTGTGGTTGCAAAAGAGCCCACTGAGAATTGCATAAATTTAAATAATAGCAGAAAACGTTAAGAGCTTAAGTGTTTTTTATGCTGTTACACTCAGAAAATTAGGTGTGTTGAATTTGAAAACATAAAAGGGGTTGGTATTAAAAAAGTGTGATGAACTTAAAGTCAATTTTTGCGACTGATATTAGTCATGCAGGGTTGTGGTTCCTATTTTAAAAGATAACATACATTTCTAAAAAAAAAATTCTTTAAACCAGTAAGGAAAGTATTAAAGTCGGACGGGGCCGCATATATATATATATATATATATATATATATATTTTCAATGAGTTTTGCCAGAGATTAACTTATATTAACTACAGTTCATTGTACAAAATTGTGTGACAATCGGACAAACTTTGGGTCTTTAGTGCATAATTTACATAAAATCGGAAGAAAAGATATATAGGAGATATATCTAAATCTGTACAGATTTTCAAGACACTTAACAAACATCATTCTAGACCTAATTCATTACGCTATGCCATGCAAATCGAAAGATATATAGGGACTTTGGTACACCATTTACATTAAATCGGACGAAAACATATATGAGAGCTATATCTAAATCTGGACCGATTTTCAGGAAACTTGACACACATCAGTCTGGACCTAATTCATTACGCTATGGCAAATTTCGAGCAAATCGAAAGATATATAGAGGCTTTGGTAAACTATTTACCTAAAATCGGGCGAAACTATATATGGGAGCTATATCTAAATCTGAACCGATTTTCAGGAAACTTGACACACATCAGTCTAGACCTAATTCATTACGCTATGCCAAATTTCGTGCAAATCGAAAGATACATAGGGACTTTGGTACACCATTTACATTAAATCGGACGAATATATATAAGACAGCTATATCTAAATCTGAACCGATTTTCAAGAAATTTTACACACATCATTCAAGACTCAATTCAGTACGCTATGCCAAATTTCGTGCAAATCGAAAGATATATAGGGACTTTGGTACACCATTTACATTAAATCGGACGAAAATATATATGGGAGCTATATCTAAATCTGGACCGATTTTCAGGAAACTTGACACACATCAGTCTATACCTAATTCATTACGCTATGGCAAATTTCGAGCAAATCGAAAGAAATATAGAGACTTTGGTAAACTATTTACCTAAAATCGGGCGAAACTATATATAGGAGCTATATCTAAATCTGAACCGATTTTCAAGAAATTTTAAACACATCATTTTAAAGCCAATTCAGTACGCTATGCGAAATTTGGTGCCAATCGGAAGATATATAGGGACTTTGGTACACCATTTACATTAAATCGGACGAAAATATATATGGGAGCTATATCTAAATCTGAACCGATTTTCAAGAAATTGTACACACATTATTCTAAACTCAATTCAGTACGCTATGCCAAATTTGGTGCCTATCGAAAGATATATAGGGACTTTGGTACACCATTTACATTAAGTCGGACGAAAATATATATGAGAGCTATATCTAAATCTGAACCGATTTTTTCCAATTTGCATAGGGTTTGTCCTTGGGCCAAATAAGTAACCTATGTCAAATTTCATCCAATTCGGATCATAAATGCGGCCTGTACTTTGTTTACAATTTAACATGGACAGACGGACGGACAGACGGACATGTGTAAATCGACACAGAAAGTGATTGTATGCATATTCTCAAAAGGAACCATTTGTCTATCTTGGTTTCTTTTGCCTGTTACAAACATATGCAGAAAGACATAGTACCCTGTACCACAGTGTGATGAAGGGTATAAAAATCCACGCTTTGTAATGGTCCATGGAAAAATATTCTTTAAAAAATCCACGCTTTGTAATGGTCAGCTAAAAAAATATTCTTTGAAAAATCGCTTTGTAATGGTCCATGGAAAAATATTCTTTAGAAAATCCACGCCTTGCTATGGCCATGAAAAAATATTCTCTAAAAAATCCACGTCTTGCTATGGCCCATGAAAAAATATTCTTTAGAAAATCCACGCCTTGCTATGGCCATGAAAAAATATTCTCTAAAAAATCCACGTCTTGCTATGGCCCATGAAAAAATATTCTTTAAAAAATCCACGCCTTGTAATGGTCAGTTGAAAAAATATTCTTTAAAAAATCCACGTCTTGTTATGGTCATTTATTATATTATCTTTACGCCTTTTTAAATTCGTCCCACCCTAATATATTCCACAGCATAGAATGCGTTTTATTGTTGTTTTTCTCTTTATTAGACATAAGTGTTGGCAAAACAAAAACTAAAGTGAATTTAAGTATTTTACAGTTTGTTTTTGTTGCAGTGGTTCTCGAAGACCCCCATTACTCTCCCTCTCTCTCTCTCTAGGTTAGTACACTTTAAACATTGTAGACATTTCACTCACTTGGCAAACCTGACTGACATTGTTTACACATTCTCCACCAGCCAGCCAAGAGGATAAACGTGGATAAACGACAACAATGTAGTAATCGTTGTCAGACATGCAACATGACCATTTAGATTTGGTTCGTTGATGTGCTCCTGCTTCGGATGCCGTTTCGTCGTATATAAATGTAAATTGCAGTAAATAAACTCTAGAGGGGTTACAAGTAACTGCTCTTTGCACGCACCCGCCACCAAGGTACACACATCAGTGTTCCTTCCTTGCATTTATTGTGGGTTAGTCTCCCCTACCCATTTTAGTTCATTTTTTCACGTCATTTGCATCTGAGAGAAAGTGGTTTGAGTGCGGCAGTGAAGTGCATAATTAAATATTTAGATTTCTATCAACTCGTCTACTGGGATGTATACGGCTAAGCTTTTGGTGATAATTGTATGGGCCGTGTTTTCCATTTTTGTTTGTGGGTGTAAAATAAGCCAGCTCACCTACCGGCGGAACTAGCACAGCACAGCACCCACTCTAGTCAATATTTAAGTACAACCATTTACTCACACTTGGCCTTATAGTTTAGTGGCTGTGTGAAGAAGTGGCTGTGCCGTGCCACTATACCTATGCACCATCGTTAATTATTTATGACTGCCGTTTTGTTTGTATTTAGCTTTTGTTTTAATTTTTTCATAAAACGACAAGTTTTCATTTAGACCCCAAACATTTTCGTGTTTCATTCAATTTAAATAAGTTAACGTCAGTCACTTCGTGCTGCATACTTGTAGGCTTTAATTGAAACAATTATTTATTGAGTGGCGATGTGAATGTTTTGATAAACGCAAACAAGGACTATGGGGTTATTTAGAAAAAACGTCATCTGATGGACGACTGCCGTTAATTTGAAAAGACATTTAGATAATGATATGCATTATACGACATAGTTTTTGTTACAGGGTACATTTTACATATTGATTAGAAGTATGACAATTATATTAAAAAGTAAAAAAGGGGTCATTAGTGAACAGGGTGGTACAGAGAGCGATTTTTTTTAATAAGGAAATATTATTTAACAACCCACGCCTTCTAATTATCCTCGAAAAAAGGTTTTTAAAAACATATTATTTAAAAATTCCACGCCTTGTAGTGATCCTTGAAAAACTGTCCTTCAAAAGTAGTATTTAACCAGTAAGGAAAGAAGTAAAGTCGGACGGAGCCGACTATATGATACCCTTCACCGCTAACAGACGTCGCATTTTTAAAGGACCAATAAAATGAAATTGGATCCATAAACATGTCATCCTGCAATTCATTATGCTGTACTAATTTTCGTGCAAATCGAAAGATATTAAGGGACTTTGGTACAACATTTACCTTAAATCGGAAGACTTTGGTACAACATTTACCTTAAATCGGAAGATTTTCACGATATTTAACACACATCATTCTAGACCTAACTCATTACGCTGTGCCAAATTTCGTGCTAATCGAAAGATTTTAAGGGACTTTGGTACATTTACCTTAAATCAGACGAAAATATATATGGAAGCTATATTTAAATCTGAACCGATTTTCAGGAAACTTAGCACACATTATTCTAGACCTAATTCATTATGATGTGCCAAATTTCGTGCAAATCGAAAGATATATAGGGACTTTGGTGCACAATTTACATTAAATCTTACGAAAATATATATGGGAGCTATATCTAAATCTGAACCGATTTTTCCCAATTTCAATAGGGTTCGTCCTGGGCCAAATAAGTGACCTATGCCAAATTTCATCCAAATCAGATCATAAATGCGACCTGTACTTTGTTCACAAAAATGCATGGACGGACAGACCGTCGGACGGACAGACCGTCGGACGGACAGACGGACATGTGTAAATCGACCCAGAAAGTGATTCAATGCATATTCTCAAAAGGAACCAAGTGTATATCATGTTTCCTTTTGCCTGTTACAAACATATACACAAAGACATAATACCCTTACCACAGTGTGGTGAAGAGTATAACAATGAACAACTTGTAAAGGTCCTTGAAAAAATAGTATTAAAAATCCACGCCTAGTTATGGTCCTTGAAAAATAGGCTTTAAAAATTCACGTCTTGTTATGGCTCTTAAAAAATATTCCTTAAAAATCCACGCCTTGTGAAGATCTTTAAAAAAAATAGTCATTAAAAATCCACGCCTAGTTATGGTCCTTGAGAAAATAACCTTTAAAAAATCCACGCCTTGAAAAAATAGTCTTTAACTTTCTGCAGGTGTTTATTCCGAGCCTGGGCCATATTTCGTAATATTTGCAC